CATGATAATACACGGCCCCATGTTGCAAGGATCTGTATACAATTCCTGGAAGCTGAAAACATCCCAGTTCTTGCATGGACAGCATACTCACTAGACAGGTCACCCTTTGAGCATGTTTGGGAAGCTCTGGATCAGCATATATGACAGAATGTTCCAAGTCCTGCCAATATCCAGCAACTTTGCACAGCCATTGAAGAGGAGTGGGCCAACATTCCACAGGCCACAATCAACAAACTGATCAACTCTATGCAAAGGAGATGTGTTGCACTGCGTGAGGCAAATGATGGTCACACCAGATACTGACTGGTTTTCGGACCCCCCAGATTCCCCAACACAGTAAAACTGCACATTTTAGAATGGCCTTTTATTGTGGCCAGCCTAAGGCACACCTGTGCAATAATCATGCTGTCTAATCAGCATCTTGATATGCCACACCTGTGAGATGGATGGATTATCTCAGCAAAGGAGAAGTGCTCACTAACACAGATTTAGACAGATTTGTGAACAATATTTGAGAGAAATAGGCCTTTTGTGTACATAGAAAAAGTCTTAGATCTTTGAGTTCAGCTCATGAAAAATGGGGACAAAAAAAGTGTTGCGTTTATAATTTTGTTCAGTGTATTTTCTGCTGAAGAGTCCATAACATCACATATTATATATGAAATATGCCTATTTTTAGAAAGAGCATCTTTAACCCCTTCACTTGCAGAAGCGTCCATAAATGTTTTTATTTTATTTGTTTTGCAAAACCACATTTAGTCCACAATACCTCACTCAATTATAGTAAAGGGAAAAAACATTTTTGAAAATGTATTGCCACCCTGAACATTGTTGCAATATTGTTTTTCAAGCAAAATAGCAAGAATCAGCAGAATAGTCACCATGATGGGAAATGAATCAAACAGATGTTATGTAATAATTTCAAAACATGAGGACTTATTTACGTATTTGTATAACATTTTCAAGTTATTGGATTTCATTATATTACAAATAATAACAAAGCATGTAACCAAGAAAAGTACATTCAGATTACTCTGGTTTCCAAGTATATCCTGGGGATGTTACTATTACCCAATTTAATACTACTCATTTTATCTACCTCAGAAGGATGAAGAGATGATTCAACCCTATCCAGGATTTGAACCTGCAACCTTCAAGGGTTGAACAGATTCTACTAATGACACATTAGCCAACCAAGCTAAATGCAAGATGTTTATGACATACTCTGATATTCTGTACTATCCAATGCAGGGCTCTATTTTACTCCTTAAAGGGACAATTTAAAGGACCACTATAGTGCCAGGAAAACATACTCGTTTTCCTGGCACTATAGTGCCCTGAGGGTGCCCCCACCCTCAGGGACCCCCTCCCGCCCGGCTCTAGTAGGGGGAAAGGGGTAAAAACTTACCTTTTTCCAGCGCTGGGCGGGGAGCTCTCCTCCTCCTCTCCGTCTCCGATCCGCCCTGTCGGCTGAATGTGCACGCGCGGCAAGAGCTGCTTTCCTATGGACGCTGGCGTGCTCTCACTGTGAAAATCACAGTGAGAAGCACGCAAGCGCCTCTAGTGGCTGTCAATGAGACAGCCGCTAGAGGCTTTGGGGGAAGGCTTAACCCATTGATAAACATAGCAGTTTCTCTGATACTGCTATGTTTATAAAACAATGGGTTAACCCTAGCTGGACCTGGCACCCAGACCACTTCATTAAGCTGAAGTGGTCTGGGTGCCTAGAGTGGTCCTTTAAGCACCAAAACAACTTCCCTGGCCGGCCAAAAAGCTTACCAGCTGGCAGGACCGCTTCTTTTCCAAATGGGCCTGCACCTTATGGGCATTGCTAGTGACACAGTCACCTAATTTGTGCTTCCCCATAGCAGCCCTGCCCATGCTATTCCAATTATGCCAGGCAAGAAATATTGGAAGGGATGGAAAAAGATAAGTAAAGATAAGTTACATTTTTATTGCAAACAGGAGGTGAAAAGAACCTATATAGACCTGGGAACAGGGACTATAGCATTAGAAACACAGGTTTGCGTTACTAATGCTGTACTGTTCCTTTAAAGATTTATATCCTATTAAAACCTATTTATAAGCACGGTGTTAACATATATATGTAATTTTCATTACATACGTGCAAAGTTTCAGAAGTAAACATTGAGAGCAACATCTGTGTACTGGAGGCTTAGATTAGATTGTACAGTTTGCTTAAAATTGAAGTCCTTTTAATTCGTATTCTGTCTGAAAAATTTTTCACGTTATTCCTAGTTTTATCAGAAAAATCTTTATAACCATGGTTTCCCCACAGTTGGTTCCAGTGTATTTTGGATTTCTTTAATTTCTTTATTAAGACTGACAAAGATTCAGTTCTACAAGAAATCACTATATTCATAAATTTCATTGAAAAACGTTCTGGTGTCTTATTTCTTTTCCTTGACCTCGAATTTTTCCTTAAAAGTAATGTTTGAAAGTTACCATCTCCTACTTGGTGACCTCGATGTAATTTTTTATAATTTCATAAATTATTTTCTATTCTGTTCTGTATAACTTCAGTATTTTATCTGTGTTTAAAGGAACACTCTGTGATTCATTTTTTTTTTTTTCTTTAGCCTTACTGTGTTCTCATAACTGTTCAGATAATGGGTTGTCCCTATGTAAAGGAAAAAGATACATTTTACTTACTGCTAATCCAGCACTGAGACATCTCATAAAGAACCTCTGAGAACCTATGGCGCATAAGCAGCAATTGTCACGTTCTGTTTCCTGTATGCTTCTCCAGTGAATCACTCTAGTCTGGAACCAGCCATTTAATGAGAAGGTACCCTTACACTGCAGTAGGTTAGTGACTTCGCACAGAGCTGGGCATCGAGCACACACTAGATGATAACTTTGCTCAGCGATGACAGTAAGCTCGGTTACTATAATACAGGCCCGGATTGGCCATTGGACAAACCAGGCAATGAGTCGCAATAGCCATAGCAGATGGGGACAGGAAGATCAAAGGATTTCCCCTGTCAGCCCTTTCAGAGAAGCCCAAACAGGGAGCTGTGACACTTCATGGGCCTGTGGGGAGATTAGGTTACTGTAAGTAAATCTAAAGCTGGGGGAAGGGAGCCAGGCTCTGTCTTTGTTTCTTCCGAGCCTCAATAGCATCAGAGCATTTCCTTTGTTACCCTCAGCAAGGCTCTGAACCACCAGAGCTTGCTAGAGGAATAGACTTGGTCTATACCCTTGGGTCTGGCCTTAAGGGAGTATGAGCAGTGTGGCTGCACAGGGTGCCATGGCAACAGAGGCACCAGGTGGTCGACACAGATTGGAATAAAAGGGATACAGCCATGTGTGAAATTTGTATTTAATACTTTGTCGGACTGGCAATATATTTAATAAAAATGTTTCCCTGGTGGTGCATCGCATTGTCTTTATCTGCTGCTAGTACCAACCATCGTGTCCTCTCCCTTGCGATTCTGGCCCACACTTAATAAGTCAGAGCTGGGAATCCCCTCAGCAGCTCCAACACTACACACAACCACACCCCCTACACAAACATTCACACAAATATAATCAATACAAAAACACCACTATTGGGAACACCACAGACAAGTCACTAGCAAACGTAATGCATGTATTGCATTAAATTCGCTTGCGCTTTGCAGAAACAAAAACAGGGCATTTTCCCCATCCGAGAGCACTTCAGTAGGGCTCTGCGTATGGAATACCCTTGGGGAGTGGGAGCGGGGGCGGCATAAAACATACTCATTTTGGGGCATGGCATGCTTGTCATTGGGGATGAGATACAGTCAGGTCCATAAATATTGGGACATCGACACAATTCTAATCTTTTTGGCTCTATACACCAACACAATGGGTTTGAAATGAAACAAACAAGATGTACTTTAACTGCAGGCTTTCAGCTTTAATTTGAGGGTATTTACATCCAAATCAGGTGAACGGTGTAGGAATTACAACAGTTTGTATATGTGCCTCCCACTTTTCAAGGGACCAAAAGTAATGGGACAATTGGCTGCTCAGCTGTTCCATGGCCAGGTGTGTGTTATTCCCTCATTATCCCATTTACAAGGAGCAGATAAAAGGTCCAGAGTTCATTTCAAGTGTGCTATTTGCATTTGGAATCTGTTGCTGTCAACTCTCAATATGAGATCCAAAGAGCTGTCACTATCAGTGAAGCAAGCCATCATTAGGCTGAAAAAACAAAACAAACCCATCAGAGAGATAGCAAAAACATTAGGTGTGGCCAAATCAACTGTTTGGAACATCCTTAAAAAGAAAGAACGCACCGGTGAGCTCAGCAACACCAAAAGACCCGGAAGACCACGGAAAACAACTGTGGTGGATGACCGAAGAATTCTTTCCCTGGTGAAGAAAACACCCTTCACAATAGTTGGCCAGTTTAAGAACTCTCTCCAAGAGGTAGGTGTATGTGTGTCAAAGTCAACAATCAAGAGAAGACTTCACCAGAGTGAATACAGAGGGTTCACCACAAGATGTAAACCATTGGTGAGCCTCAAAAACAGGAAGGCCAGATTAGAGTTTGCCAAACAACATCTAAAAAAGCCTTCACAGTTCTGGAACAACATCCTATGGACAGATGAGACCAAGATCAACTTGTACCAGAGTGATGGGAAGAGAAAGGTATGGAGAAGGAAGGGAACTGCTCATGATCCAAAGCATACCACCTCATCAATGAAGCACGGTGGTGGTAGTGTCATGGCGTGGGCATGTATGGCTGCCAATGGAACTGGTTCTCTTGTATTAATTGATGATGTTACTGCTTACAAAAGCAGCAGGATGAATTCTGAAGTGTTTCTGGCAATATTATCTGCTCATATTCAGCCAAATGCTTCAGAACTCATTGGACGGCGCTTCACAGTGCAGATGGACAATGACCCGAAGCATACTGCAAAAGCAACCAAAGAGTTTTTTAAGGGAAAGAAGTGGAATGTTGTGCAATTGCCAAGTCAACCACCTGACCTGAATCCGATTGAGCACGCATTTCACTTGATTAAGACAAAACTGAAGGGAAAATGCCCCAAGAACAAGCAGGAACTGAAGACAGTTGCAGTAGAGGCCTGGTAGAGCATCACCAGGGATGAAACCCAGCGTCTGGTGATGTCTATGCGTTCCAGACTTTAGGCTGTAATTGACTGCAAATGATTTGCAACCATGTATTAAAAAGTGAAAGTTTGACTTATCACTGTTAATCTGTCCCATTACTTTTGGTCCCTTAAAAAGTGGGAGGCACAAATACAAACTGTTGTAATTCCTACACCGTTCACCTGATTTGGATGTAAATACCCTCAAATTAAAGCTGAAAGCCTGCAGTTAAAGTACATCTTGTTTGTTTCATTTCAAACCTATTGTGTTGGTGTATAGAGCCAAAAAGATTAGAATTGTGTCGATGTCCCAATATTTATGGACCTGACTGTAGCATGCCTCCTTTCTGGCCTTGCCCCTCCTTTTTAACTCCAGTGAGACTTCAAAGGCATTATCTATATACAAAAACTGTTTCATTAAGCTAAAGTTGTTTTGAAGCCTTTAGCTTAATTTCCATGAGAGAATTCGTAAATATCAGTACAAGTAGACCCAAAATTCAATAATGAAAGTCAATAATAAAAGTCAATAATGTAGACGGATAAGGAAACTAAACATCAGGAATAAGACTAGCTGGGTTAACAGCAGAAAAACAAAAAACAAACGAGACAATTAATGCACTTAAGTCCTGGAAACCGCATTAGCAGGGGTGTAAATATGACCAGACTTTGATGTTATCACGTTTTGTAAATGCGCAGTGCATCATAAATGATGCTGAGTCAAAATCTCAATATTCCAGAACCAGCTGCTATCCTGTGCAACCCCTAAATGTTTCAGAACAAGCTGCTATCCTGTGAAAACCCACAGCGTCCCAGAGAAATCAGCTATCCAGGCCCTGGGGAGTCAAACAGACAAGGGCACATGTTTGAGTGTGGGCAGGGCCAGCCTTAGGCCTTTAGGCGCCCTGTGCGAAAAATCTTTCTTCCCCCCCCCATCCCCTTCGCCCGCCCTCCCCGCCGCAAATGTTTTTTTAAATCCTGGCCGGCCATGTGTGAACTGTGTTGGCCGCAGGGCGCCCCCTGCTCGATGGCGCCCTGTGCGGCCGCACAGCTCGGACACCCCTAAGGCCGGCCCTGAGTGTGGGGATGGTGTTAGTGATTGGCTGTATGTGTTTAGGGGAGTGGTTATGGGTTTGTAGTGGGGCAGGGATCATCTTACCTCAGTGCCTTTTGGGATTCTGGCCAGCAAACAACTTCCCTCCCAACCACCCTAATTTTATGTTTTTTGTTCCGTCACAGCGGAAGGGAGTGTGTCCTTGCCAACAGGGTTGGGGAGCAGATGGAATGTCAGGAGATGGACAAGGTGGGTCTCAACCTCCCCTGCTCTGTAAGGTAAACTTTTAAGTTACCGAATTCGACATGCCCACCGAGCAAAAAGCTAGCTGGTGGTAGAGCATTTAAGATGATGGGAATTTTGGTTTGGACGAGGGGGGAGGCAAGACACCAGTGGGTAAAGTTTTTTGGTGCATAGGCACCTGGTTATGTTCGTTGGCAAGGACGGTTATTTAAGTTGGAGGCTGTAGGGCAATAAGTGTTAATTTATATGTTAATTATGGTATGTATATGTATGTGTTTATTTATATTTGAATTAAAGGAAAAAGAATAAAGTTCGGATGAGTCCTACAGTTGTAAGTTTAATAAATGCTGTGGTCTGTTTCATCCAATATTCATTGTTTGTCGTTATTGGAGGGAGAATTGGGGTAGTCTCCTTACTCTTAGTCGCACCACATTCTCGCTACGTACATACATGTGCGACCACTCAGTGTTCCAGAGCAAGCTGCTATTCTTAACAAACCCTCAGTGTTCCAGAGTAAGCTGCTATTCTTTACAAACCCTCAGTGTTCCAGAGTAAGCTGCTATTCTTTACAAACCCTCAGTGTTCCAGAGTAAGCTGCTATTCTTTACAAACCCTCAGTGTTCCAGAGCAAGCTGCTATTCTTTACAAACCCTCAGTGTTCCAGAGTAAGATGCTATTCTTTACAAACCCTCAGTGTTCCAGAGTAAGCTGCTAATCTTTACAAACCCTCAGTGTTCCAGAGCAAGCTGCTATACTTTACAAACCCTCAGTGTTCCAGAGTAAGCTGCTAATCTTTACAAACCCTCAGTGTTCCAGAGCAAGTTGCTATTCTTTACAAACCCTCAGTGTTCCAGAGCAAGCTGCTATACTTTACAAACCCTCAGTGTTCCAGAGTAAGCTGCTATTCTTTACAAACCCTCAGTGTTCCAGAGCAAGCTGCTATTCTTTACAAACCCTCAGTGTTCCAGAGCAAGCTGCTATTCTTTACAAACCCTCAGTGTTCCAGAGCAAGCTGCTAATCTTTACAAACCCTCAGTGTTCCAGAGCAAGCTGCTAATCTTTACAAACCCTCAGTGTTCCAGAGCAAGCTGCTAATCTTTACAAACCCTCAGTGTTCCAGAGCAAGCTGCTATACTTTACAAACCCTCAGTGTTGCAGAAAGAGCTGCTATTCTTTACAAACTCTCTGTGTTCAGAGCAACCTGCTTTCCTGTGCAAACACTCAGTCTCAGAACCTGTTGTGGTCCTGGAAAGATTCTCAGTACAAGCTGACTTGTGGTACAAACCTTACACTTCTGTTAATTACCGCTTATCTGAACTAGTTACTGGTACCACTTTGACTTTTTATCTTGGAAAGAAACAGTGGTCTAATCAAATACATTTTTTTTGCCAATTCCTGCATACCGAACTCCTTTTGCCAAAACCCTGACATTTATATACACATCACATTTGTTGTTTCATTTCTTCTATTAAAATAATCTTTGCACCCTTTTTTGTGAATCTCTCATAAATATACATATATAGTTTTATTACTTTTTCATTAAGCCTAATTTGTTGTTTGAATTGCCCTTCTAGTTACACAAGTCTGATACCAATCACTATTTTCAGTACACACTCATGCATTAAGGGGAGTGCCTGCTCTCCAGTGGTGAGTTTCTCTTTTATCTTAACCATTTATCTTGCTTATTATTGCAAAATGTTAAGTTCTATCACATGCCACAGTACTATGTATCTTGTAATGCTTGTATTTACTGTTGTGGCATAGCAAGCGTGTCTGTCAAACTTATGTACAATAAAAATAAAGAATTTAAAACAAAAAATCACTAAACACAAATACAACTCTTGGCAGGCAGCCTTTCCAAGGTAGCCTTCTTTGGGGGGCACTAGTGGCACAATTCACATCACTGGCATAGCCTCGTTTACTGCATCCACCAACACCCTGCTTACTGATGTGTATGGATGATTCCTCCATAGATATGTAAGACTATTTTTATTTCTTGTCACTAGTAGAAGCTATGGCAGTTTGCAAAAGTTGACAGTGGTTCTCCGCTTTCTGCCAGCCTGGACTATCCCTTTTTGTGAAAGTGACTTTACATTCCAGTTCCAGTTACATTCCAGTTCAGTCCAGGTACATCCAGGGCACACAGTGCAAATGAGAAAGATAACAGAAACATTCAGGGTCAGTGGTGTACATACCGCAGTGACAGGGGTCGCAGCTTCGGACCCCTTGCGACCGGTACCCGCCGACATCTTTTGCGGGCCCGGCCTGCATGGCAAACCGCCGGGGCCGCCGTCCAATATGGATTGTCAGGGGACCCAGTCAGCGCTGCAACGCTTTAACAGTGCGACCGGGCCCCCTGTGAGGACATCACATGCTGGGAGGAATCACAGATCAGTTTCACACCGGGGCCCCATGGATTGTGTGTACGCAGTGGCATACATACCGGGGTCACAGGGGGCCCGGCCGCCCTGCGACCCGATATTTACGCCAGTGTGGCCAGCCTCTTCTTATGGGGGGCCCAGGAGCTGGCCACCTCAGGGCCCCCGAGGCTGGCCCTGGTATCACCAGGCGGGCTGGCTGGCGGCGCGCGAGGAAGCACTCTCCCTGGCTGAACGCTCTCTGCCCAGCTCCCTCGCGCACCGCACTGATACTGGAGTCGGTATCAGTTAGCTAGTGTGTATGCGTCTGTTTGTGAGAGAGTGTGTGTGTCTGTTAGCTAGTGTGTATGCGTCTGTTCATGAGAGTGTGTGTGTGTCTTAAGGACTTACCTTTCTCCAACGCCAGACTCCCTTGGCACTGGAGATCTCTCCGCCCCGATCCGCCTCTCAGCTCCGAATGCGCATGCGCGGCAAGAGCCGCACGCGCATTCAAACCGCCCATAGGAAAGCATTACTCAATGCTTTCCTATGGACTTTCAGCGTCTTCTCAGTGTGATTTTCACAGTGAGAATCGCGGAAGCTCCTCTAGCGGCTGTCAATGAGACAGTCACTAGAAGCTGGATTAACCCTCAGTGAAACATAGCAGTTTCTCTGAAACTGCTATGTTTTCAGCTGCAAGGTTAAAACTAGAGGGACCTGGCATCCAGACCACTTCATTGAGCTGATGTGATCTGGGTGTCTGTAGTGGTCCTTTATGTGTATGTGTATCTGCATGCACTGGCGTACATACCGCGGTCGCAGGGGTCGCAGCCCCATGGGTTGTGTGTACGCCACTGTTCAGGGTTATTCACTAAAAGAATTGTGCCTGGATGGACAGAATCCTGTGAAAATAACTGTATTTCAGACACGTGCAGTTATTGTATTTACTAATGGCTAATCCAGTTCAAATTCTGTCATTTTAACCAAATTATTACTTTTAAATTAATACCATAAGGTGTCTGGTTTCAAGTCAGTCCTTTTTACTGTATATAGGATTTTGCAGAAATCCTATATACAGTAAAACATATGATCCACATTTTTCAACCAGACAAGTTTTTTTCCTGCATGTTTTTGTTTATTTTACTGAATTGTTGTGTTGGTCGTTCTGGATTTTTATTTGGCACATGGTCATACTGTTATTGCCTGTGTTATTACTGAACTATTCTCCACACTTAATGCTGATGGGTATGGGTTTACTTAAGATTGACAATGACATGTCCGCCCCCTTTATTACAATTGAGCCCCTACCCATTATCTATGGGTAGTGGTGGGGCACCACTGGCAAGTCCCCCATAGTACGTTCTAGGCTTCTTCACACCATTTGTGGGATGAGACCTTGAGTGACCAGTTGCTAATTTTATTAATCCCCCAAATGCTGGACAGTGAGAGAGGAATAAGAGACAGGAATAGAGACAGGATTTCCCTTATTCCTTTTATTATTCTACCCCAATAGTTTTACTCACCTTTAATTGACATCATCATTACAGATGATGCCTGCCATTCCAATGCTTCTTCACAGGGAAGCATTGGAGGGCAAGTGTGAATGTGCTACAATCATCACAATGTGCCAATTGGCATCTCCAAAACATTAGTTCAATGTACCTCCATGGCCATGGGAAACATTTGGAGTCTTCAATACACCAAACGTCACTATTGTAAAGATAGCAGCCAACTGCACCAGGAAGGGCCTCTAGTGGCTGTCTGAGTGTAACGCGCTAAAGGTGACATTAGGCACAAATGTAAACACTGCCTAAAAGTAAACAGAAAATGCAAAATGTACAATTATCAGACTGCATGGCAGACTCTTTGCACCTGAACCACTACATTAAGCTGTAATTATTCTGGTACTTAAAGTCTCCATTTAATTTTATTTTTTAAACTTCAGTAAAAAAGTAAATGCTGAATACATAGGATAGGTAAAGAGAATATTGAAAATCCTGGCAAGTGACAGTCCCCCTTTAATGTTTAACCTGACAGCTCCCTAAATAAATATTCAGCAGAATACGTAAAGGGCTGAGTAACGGACTGTGACTTCTCTATCTCACAAAACGTCAACATTTCGGACAGCGTGGGATGTTGCAAGCCTCCCCTATCTGAGTTAATTGTAACTGTGAAACCACTGGAGAGGGAGAAGGCATGACAGTGCTTGTTGCTGAGAGTAAAGTGATGTACACACTGACTGCTCTGCAGGTTCCTTTCACTCCTTATTGGCTCTATTGAAGGTTGCTGCCCCAAGGGGACGTGGGTGGCTTAGCATCTAGTGGTCATTATGTCAATGCTTGGGACAAGAGGTCAGCTTTATTGATCAGTGAGCAGTGCACTGTTGATAAAAAAGGGTTTAGGTGTTTGGAATTGAAACTGACTGATTCACCTGAGACAGTTTCTGGTCTGCCATGGATCCAGGGAAACATCCCTCCCTTCTCCTCTTACTTATGCTGGGCAGCTTTGCACTGTACCTGCCCAGTGCCTCTGCAGTTGTGAGAGAACATTATGTGGCTGCTGTGTTTGCTGATTGGAACTACCAAAACCAACAAAACCAGAGGTACTCTTTTCTTTTCCTATCTTTTTTCATTCTTTCGTTCTTTCTTTCTCTCTCTCCCTCTTTTCTTTCTTTCTTTCTTTCTTTCTTTCTCTCGCTCTCTCTTTTTCTTTCTCTCTCTCTCTCTTTTTCTTTCTTTCTTTTTCTTCCCCTTTTTCTTTCCTCCCTCCCCGTA